TTCTGAAACGGGATTAAAACAGGAGTGAGAGATCTTTGACACAGTTTCATTATTTCCAGCTGTAGCTGGTGGCGGCCATTTTGGATCCTGAGGCTCCTCTGGTGCTCAGAGTATCAGATATAGAGGTTTGGGGGGTTGTTCTTCCTGTTTCCAGCTTCTGAAACTGAGTTTCTCTGTGAGTTTTAGTCAAAATGAGGACATTTTTCTGCCTCAAACTGAGTTTTAGATCCGAAATCAGGCTGTTTTTCTGACTTAAACTGAGACTTTCTGACTCAAACTGAGTTTTAGAGCAAAAGTTAGGCAGTTTTTCTAACTCAAAGTGAGTTTTAGATCCAAAATAAGGCAGTTTTTCTGACTTGCACCTCTCTATTTTACACAGAATTTCTCTGACTTAAATTGAGTTTTTCTGACTTGCACCGAGTTTAAGAGCCAAAATGAGGCAGTTTTTCTGACTTAAACTGAGATTTTCTGACTCAAACAGAAAAAATGTCTCGTTTTGGCTCAAAATTTCGGTGCAAAACTGAGTTTTTCTGTCTCAAACTAAGATTATGAGCCAAAACAAGGCAGTTTTTCTGACTCAAACCGAGGTTCTATGGGAATTTGAGCCACAATAAGACTGACTTAAATTGAGTTTTTCTGACTTAGACTTAGTTGTTCTGACTTAAACTTAGTTTTAGAGCCAAAATCAGGCTGTTTTTCTGACTTGAACTGATTTTAGAGGCAAAATTAGTCAGTTTTTCAGACTTAAACTGCATTTTATTCTGACTCAGACTGAGTTTGTATGTGAATTTGGGTGGTTTCTCCGGGTGAAAGCGACTCACCCTCCGGCTGGAGACCTGCTCGTCCCGGCCCATGTCCTCCCCCCCCCCCCGGGGGAGAGTTGGTATCTCCCGCACCTCGCCCCGGGTCACCGTCTTCCTCCTCACCGTGTGGCTGCGGGACACCGGGGTCAAAGGTCAACCTCTTTACAGAGAGAGAGGCTTAATAAGGAACCCAAACAGAACCCCGACCAGATAAAGATCCAGGGAAGGAGGGAAGGAAAGAGGAAAGAGGATGGAAGGGATGGAAAGAAGGAAAGAGGATGGAAGGAAAGAGGAAGGAAGGAAAGAGGATGGAAGGAAAGGATATAAGGTAATAGGATGGAAGGAAGGAAGGAAGGAAGGAAGGAAGGAAGGAAGGAAGGAAGGA